AGACGGCCAAAGCCTTCTCTATCTCTCCATCTTCCCCAGAGCTTAGGAGAGAGAAGGATTCTTCTCTCTCTTTCCTCTCACCTCCTTTTCTTCCAACTCTTCTATCAGTACCTGTAACAAGATAGAAAAAGAACAAGAGTGAGTGACCACGTGTAATGGCGTGTCTCTTCTCTTCAAAAACAAACAGAAAAGACTCGCCCGTCTTTGTCCTACCTTAGCCGCTCTCCTCTAGAAAACGGGCTATCAGAAAGAAAATCTCTAAATAGAGAGAATGAATGATTTAAGGAGCTATTGGCAGCCATTACAAGAAGATATTAAAAGAAAAGAAAAGAGATACTAGTCTTCTCTCTCCGGTCAGTGTATATTTCCGCCGTTCAAAATTCCTAACGTAAGGAATTTAGATTTTATAGTAATTATCCAATAATCTAATGTCTTAATAATAGATATTTTGCAATATTCAAGTAAATCAGTAATTTTAAAAACTCTAAACATTGGTTTTTTAAATTAAGCTATGAATGAGTGTGCAAAAGTGGCCAAACACAATTACAATATTGCATGAGTGTAAATCTGTAAAGTATTAGGATTAGAGGGCACGATTGACAATCTGGAACAATGCATCTCTGATTTTGACAGCATGCGCATGCAAAAATCACAAAATCTCGGATCTCATTTGAAAGTGGGTGTGTCAACGCTCACACACATCCGGTTAAGCTTAATTATTATTAAACTGGGCGTGTAGCCACGCCTTCAAACCACATGGAATTATGGATTCTGTACCTTTCCTTCACATTGAGTACCTAGTAAAATCAGGGCTAACATACGAAGAAGTCAGTGAAGAGCTTATGAGGAGCTACCCTGGAGTAAGAGGTCTTTCTGCTCGTAGTGTCAGGCGTTATTGCAATGTGAACGGTATCAGCCATCTTCAAACTAATGAAATTGAATCTCTAGCTGTTGAGGCCATATACGAGGTATATATACTTTCCAATAGGGATGGGATGTTAAAGTTACCATATAACAGGAAGTTTTCATTGGGTTTTGTTAGTTTTGTTGGCTAAAATAGAAAGTGGGTGTGACCCCCAGGTCAATGGTAAAAATATCTTGCTCCAATAGTCAATCAAGTTTCCGACAATGAATATTTCCTGCTACACAGTGTTAGTCTCTAGCTCATGACTTTACAAAAGTCAAAGCATACAAGTAGTTAGTACTGATTTTATCACAAAGGCGTCATGATAGAATGTAATGCGTTACCATTGGGCTCAGAGCCTATAGCATTGGGTGGTGCTTCATAAACATTAAATATTATTTTTGTATTTTTGTTAGGTTGGTGCACTATATGGGAGGAGATTGATGAGGGGATATCTCTTATCTAAGGGATTTAGAATATCTGAGAGGAGTGTTGCATCTGCATTAAAGGCAATAGATCCCGATTCGTATGAATCACGGAGGCAAAATGCTCTGGATCGTACCAACCCTATCCCATATCGCCCAAGATACTTTGGCCATAAATTACATCTTGACCAGAATGAGAAACTCACTCCATTCGGGGTAACAACTGTAGTGGCAAGAGACGGATACTCTGGCAAGATTATATCTTTTGGAGTTATGCCAAGGAAGAATAATGTTGCAATTTATGATCTTGTTTACAAGTAGGTCAGTAATCAAAAATGTCTGCTTATTATTTTAATTTAGAAAAGCATTGCATGAATACGGTTTATGGGACCAAGTGAGGGTGGACCATGGCAGGGAATTCTATCTCATATTGTATATTCAAGATCAGTTACGTGAAACTTATGGATCACCTGACGTTCGTCCTCATGTTCAGTCAACTTCTACTGCAGTAGGTTTTTTGTTTACATTTAAATGTAGTTTACAGGAGCATAGGGAGTCTGTTTGCATTTTTATACTGAAAAATAATTGAGTGTGGTGTATGCAGTTACATGTGTATGCCTGGGAAAATTATGCTGGCATAATTTATAAGTGTTAGACATTGGTGATTGGGTACACATGTACATGTATTATTGTCTTTTGTAGAACATGCCTGTGGAACGAATATGGCCTGAAATAAATTCTAGGGTTAATTATCCTATAAAGAGACTGCTGATATCTATGGTTGATGATGGTACCCTTGAGATGGAAGATAATACAGTGAAGTTTTGCGTTTCATTTATTACCAGCCGTATTGTTCATGCTGGTATTAAACGTTTTGTTAGTGCATGGAATGAACATACTATCCCAAGTAAGTTAGTATGAGTGAGCTATTTGAGTGCTTACTTTATTTTATTAGGATCTGGAATTCCGAGTCAAATAGCTGCTGTGGGTGAAAGTGGAATTACCATTCTTCCTTTGTCTGTTATTCCTGGAGCTGAAGAAGCAGCTGAAATGTATTGTGCTCAGGGTGGCAGACTTCATTTTGAATGTGACTTTGGCATTGATCCTTTGGCTGAAAGGAATGACCTAATTATGTTGAGAGATCAATGGCTGAGCAGTGTCATTCCTCTGAGTAGTGACACATTTAGTAATGTTGTATCTGGCGATGGATCACTACTTAAAAGATCGATATTAGCTTGCATTGAGTTGACTTTGCGCTTCAGTGAACTCATATAACTAAAATATGAACAGTTTGTTGGTTTAGGCAATTATTTCTGTCATTAGAAAAAATTAATCATTGACAAGTAATTACTGTGTATTTTAAAGTAGCTATCGGTGCAGTCTAAAGGCCACTATACACCAGGCAATGCTATTGGAGGCAATTTGTGGTTACTTTGATCTTTATGCAACAGTGTTGCCTAGAATAGAAACCTGCTTACAACATCAAAGTAACCAGCAATAGAATTGCCTGGTGTATAGTGGCCTTTAATGCGCATGCGCAAGTAACACGAGTCTGGCCGTGGGAAGAAGGCTAGGTGCAGAATGGCGGAAGGATACAGTGATTATCATTCACCACCTCCGTTACCTGATTCGATTATAGATGGCGAGCTTCCAGGCTCACTCCCAGGTCCTTCCTCGTCACTAGTATCACTTAGTCACTCGGATGGCAGCAAAACAGTGAAGATAAAAACCACAGCGGTTAATACTCATCTACTGGGGAAAATTTTCTCATTTTTCCCTAAGAGTATTTTTTTAATATCTGACTCTGGAAATGTTCGAACAGCCGATTCTCAGGGGAAGTTTGGCTTATCTTGGCGGGATGATGAAAATCATTGGACTTGCCATGGCGACACTATTACGCCTCCCCCTCCTACCCATCAGCTAGCAACTGAGTCTGATAGCAGCAATGAGCTGCAATATTGCTATCAGGGTCGTGGACGTGGTAAATCTAAAGCCAGTTCCAAGTGGATACCTCATGTGTCAGCATCAAAGGCAAAGCCACCTGGTGTGTATAACGAGACTGAGTTCATGAAAACTATTGGGATCTATAGATACAAAGATGGTGTATATGAGAAGGTGGGTAATTTTCCTGTTCGATTGAATGAAGAAAGAGCCAATATAGCTCATGTGAAACAAGTTGTTAGCCAAGAGTCTTTCAAAGGTGAAGAGGTTGTCATTGTGGATGTTGATTTTCTTAAAATTCCTGATACATCTTCCACTCGAGGTATGCCCTAAGTTGTTGTTATTGAATTTAATTTAAATTTGATTTTAGGATCCTTGTTCTGGAAGAATCCCAACAAGAAGATAAGTGCAATTCTTGAGGAAGATTACTCTCGTACCCGTAGTACATTTCCAAAAAATGTAGCTGGAAGTAAAAGATTTCACCCAGATGAAAAACAGAGTTTGATTTTTGAAGAACGTTTGAGGAAAGTTGAAAAATCATTAGATGTCTCTCAACAAAAAGACAAAGTTCTGTTGCTTGACAGTGAAGTAGCCTCATTGAAGTTGAAACTAGCAAAAGCTAATGATATTCTTCAGAGAGTTTTAACATCTTTCAGATGCACGCTATGCATGAAATGTCCAGTATTACCTGCATATAAGTCACCTTGCTGTGAAGAAGTACTCGGGTGCTACAATTGCATTCAACAATGGTTAGACACACAGCCATCCTGTCCATTTTGTAGAGCATCAATGACACCAGAGAGCTTGGTTGATATACCAGTGATAAAACCATTGTTTGATGCCTTGAGTGAGATTGATGAGTCCAATTAATTTACCTGGCCGATTTCAGACTACTATATATCAGTCACCATTATTTATCAGTAACCACATCTAACCTTCATTTATTTGTACTCTTAATATTTATGCTCTTAATTTGTTTATTCAAATATTATACTCCTTCAATTGAAAGTCATTTCTTTAATCATTTTCAAAGTTCTAAATTGAAAAACAAGTTATTACACTTAGTCAGTCAGGGATATAATGATTGAGATACTGAATCAAAAAACTTAGTATTTCTAATCTAAACCAACAAACTGTTCATATTTTAGTTATATGAGTTCACTGAAGCGCAAAGTCAACTCAATGCAAGCTAATATCGATCTTTTAAGTAGTGATCCATCGCCAGATACAACATTACTAAATGTGTCACTACTCAGAGGAATGACACTGCTCAGCCATTGATCTCTCAACATAAATAGGTCATTCCTTTCAGC